CTGGTGCCTCGGAGGAGCAGCCCCAGCAGCAGCAGCAGCAGTAGCAGCAGCAGCCGCAGCAGGTGCCGCCGCTGGACCAGCAGCAGCAGCAGCAGCAGCAGCCGCACCAGCAAGCCGCAGGAGTAGCAGTAGCAGCAGCAGCGGCGGCGGGTCGGTTGTCTCCCGCCCGGGTGGCCTGGCGCCGGTGGTGGAGGTGGACGCAGTGTTCATGCGCGCAGCGTGACTTCAGGTGGTGGTAGGAGTGACAGGCGCTGCCATTGCCAGCTCCAGACCGGTCCTCGCCGCGGCCTCGTGTGCCGTAAGATCAGCCATACCCCCACTCGTTGTTTCAGTCGCCTGCTACTGCTCTGCGCCCATGCCAGGGCCTCCAGCCACACCACGGCTACCCCAAGTACTCGCCACGATAGCACCCCTAGGACCAGCACTCCAAGGACTAGCACCCCATGAACTAGAACCCTCTCCAGCACCTGCGCCACCCCCAGGACCTCTGGGACTCACCACGACAGCACCCCCAGCTGTGGTTTGTGCCCTTCAGCGTGCGAGACGGCGACGTCAACGGCGGCTACGGCGACGACAGCGGTGGCGGCGGTGGCGGGTGGCGGCGGAGCCAGCGGCACCTGCAGCGACGGGGACGGCTTCGGTGACGGCGGCGGCGACTGCGAAGCCCGCGGCACCCGACGGCTTGGCACGACCCGGCGACGACGGGGAGGGGAGTCATCAATTGTGGCTGGGATGAGGGGAGACGCAGGGGAGGTGGAGTACCTTCAGCGAGGCGCCCTGGCTGGTGCCTAAAACAGTGCGCTGGCCGCAGCCGTTCGTGCGCTGGCGCATCGAAGCCGCCACGGCAGCACGATGACTCTACGGCCGCACGACGGGGCTGCCGCGGCAGCGCGACGAGGTCTCCACGCGTCGAGGCCGCTATGCAGTAGGACGTGGCCGCCACGGCAGCGCGTCGAGGCCGCCACGACAACATATGGAGGCCGCCACGGCAACACATAAAGGCCGCTACAGCGGTGCGAAAGTGAGAGGAGAGGAGAGAGTATGCGGTGGAAGCATAAATAGGAGGCTCAGCAGGATCATCCTGCTCTGAAACCATGTTAGAAGGAGGTTTAAGCTACGTAGTAGAGAAAATGGCAAAGGAAATGATGCTTGACTATGAGTGAGAGAGAGAGGTACAAGAATTGGGTTGTACCCTCTACAGTAAGATCCAATCATTTGTAAAATACCTACAAGGTCTACACAACTATATATAAATTAAGTATAAGTTGACAGAATGATGACAAAATATGTTTAGGGCTGGGATAATAGGGTTGAACCTGGGCTGTTTTTTAGAGGGTACGATTCTGACTTAGCTCATCGTGTTAGACAGAGCCTTGTTTATTTCAATGTTCTCCTCGAACCACGCGACACGGTGTGGCAGCATGCATGCCAACGCGATCGAAAGACAGGTGCGTTGTCGGCTTGGCCTGTAGCGGGTGTTCGGCTGTAACTCGACCCCCGATTTGTAAGGAATTTCCATTCCTTACTGAGTCGCCCGCTACCGCGTACACCTGGACACTTCGACTCGTCACGATCGGCCTACATTTTCGGCCCAACCCTTTCTCGAGTCGCGCCCGACAGCGTCGCCACATTGCCGAACCTATCCACGTCCCGAGGTTATCGCCCTATTACATCCACTCCTATATAACCTTGTGCTTTCATGGATATTGTGACGTTGTATTCTCATTATAGTACATTGACATCTTCTAAATCATAACAGCTGGTATCAGAGCCCGACCTTTCTCGAAACCTTCCGTTTTCCCCCGGTTAGTTAGTTCAGGGTGGTCAGAGGGGATTAACACGGCTGCACAGCAGTTGCCTTTGATCGTAAATAATTTTACGTCAACAACTACAGCGTGTGCGCTAGTTTCTGCCCCGTCCTGACCGCCATGGCCCCGGTAGACTCGACGGATGAGGAACAGACAACCTCGACTGCTGCGAACTCTGCCCGGGAAACAGTAGACCTGCAAGCATTAATGGAGCAGTTGAATAATTTGACAAGCGTCGTCAACAACCTCCGTGACGAAAACCAACGACTTCGCCAGGCGCAGGAAAGGCGTTCAGAGGAGCCGGGCGACGATGCACGAAGCGAGGCAGGTGAGCAGCAACCGACACCAGTGGAGCTGGCACGGCTAGCGGCGACAGCCCCGCGCTTGACAAGTGGCGGCGTGAGATATCAGCAACCCGCTCCTTTCGACCCAGCTAATAAAGGCGTGACGGTGCTGCAGTGGATATTCGCCATGAATGACTACTTTAACGCGGCGGGTATCCGAGACGACCAGAAGCGGATCAGCCACACGTTGACACTGCTGCAAGGGGCCGCCCTACAGTGGTGGAAGGTCATCATCGACTCAGCGGCAACTCGCACAGAAGGACAGCATGAGTGGTCCGAAGAATTCGGCGACGAAGACAAAGCAGATTTGCTGTTTGGTGCAACTCACATTCGCACGTGGGCAACGTGGTGCGCAGAGCTTCGCAAGCGGTTTGAGCATGCTCCTGACTCAGACAAGGCGCGCGAGACTTTACGCATATGGAAGCAGCTGGGATCTGTGTCTGACTACACCGCGTCATTCCTGACGTTGGTGGATCGATGTGGCTACATGCACGAGTTGGAGAAGGTCGACAGGTACATGGGCGAGCTGAAGCCTGAAATACAGTAACAAATAAAATTACAACGACCTGCGAAGCGGTTACAAGACTTCATCCAACTCGCCGAAGCCGCTGACTCGCTCACGAAGCCGAGAACGAACTTCTACGACGGAGGTCGCCCTCGAGAACAGTACCAGCGTGCCACGATAAAAGGGATGGACGCAGTGGATATTTACGCAGTTGCTCCGCGAAATACGGGGCTATGCTACCACTGTGGCCGACCGGGTCACATCAAACGCAACTGCCAAGAATTCATCGCCATCCAGAATTCTATGGGGAAGAAGCCGGAGGAGCGACCGGGAAATGGGTCGCGTCAGTAAGTACCGGGCCCCTTACTGACGGGCAGGCTTCTTCGCCCGAACCACACAGTCCCCACCGGGTCGTGATCCCGATTGCTGCAATCGACCGGACCCGGACGAATAAGGGGGACGAAACTGCTGATCACCCTGTGTTGGTGGAGGGTAAAGTCAACGGGGTGTTGCTGAAAATATTCGTGGATGGAGGCGCGAGTCAGAGTCTCATGCAGCTCGACAGTGCTAAAAAAATGGGTATCCCCTTATTCAAGTGTCTACCCGAAATTGACGCAAGACTGGTGGATGGAACACTGTTGGCTATACGGGAGCGGGTGGAGCACGTCAGTTTCCACAGCGGCGAGCACGTAAAATTTAGGATGGGGCTGCTGGCGACTACACTCGACGGGTGCGACGTGCTGCTAGGACGGGATTGGCTGCGACAGTACAACCCGAAAATCGACTGGACGACGGGCAGCTGCAGCATCAAGATCGATGGGCACTATCACGAATTACCGAAATGGACGGGACCCCGCATGCAAAGTACCCAAGTCCACGCGATCACCTTCAAGCGCGCGATAAAAGCGGGAGCAGCAGCAGCATACGCCGTCAATCTTCGCGAAGTGACGTCGCCGATAACAGCGGAAGATATCACGAAGCTGTGTGAAGCCGTTCCTCCGGATTTAGCGGAACTCATCCGAAAATACCCCGAGATTTTCCCGGAGGACCTACCCGCCGGACTTCCGCCAAGTCGACCCGAAGATCATCGCATAGAACTGGAACCAGGCGCACAACCAACAGTACAGCGACAATTTCGGCTCAGCCAACCGGAACTCGAGGAATTGCAGCAGCAGTTGGATTACCTCCTGACAAAAGGTTTTATCCGCCCGAGCACATCCCCATACGCCGCCCCCATACTGTTCACACCGAAAAAAGATGGCGGATTCCGTATGTGCATTGACTACCGCGCACTCAACCGCATCACCATCAAGTCCCGTTACCCGATCCCGCGAGCTGACGACCTACTCGACCAACTTTGCGGAGCCAAGTTCTTCTCGAAAATCGATCTGCGAGGAGGTTACCACCAAATTCGCGTCGCCGCCGAGGATTGCCACAAGACCGCCTTCCGAACACGCTACGGCAGTTACGAATGCCTGGTGATGCCTTTCGGCCTCACGAACGCGCCCTCAACTTTCCAGATGACCATGAACGGTGTTTTTCGCGAACTCCTGGATAAATGCGTAATTATCTACCTCGACAACATCCTAATCTATAGCCGCAGCAGGGAGCAGCACTTACAGGATCTTGATGCAGTCTTCACGCTGCTGCACAAGAATCGCCTCATCACGAAAGGGTCTAAGTGCAACTTTCTTAAGCAGGAGTTGGAGTTTTTGGGCCACGTCGTCTCTACCGAAGGTGTGAAAATCGACCCCAGGAAAATCAAGACCATACAGGAATGGAAGCCGTCGACCAACCTCAAGGAACTCCAAAGCTTCCTGGGTTTTGTCAACTACGTCCGCCGCTTTATCCCCAATATGGCTGGGTTATCTGCACCGCTAACCGACCGATTGAAGGATCACGATTGTTTTTGGTGGGGTGAGAAGCAGCAAGCTGCATTCGATCAACTTAAAATCGCCCTCATGTCGCCGCCCGTTCTTCGCATCTCCGATCCCAACCGTCCATACGAAGTCGTCACCGACGCCAGCGACATCGCCATCGGTGCAGTTCTCCTACAGGATTTCGGCGACGGGTTACAACCAGTCGCCTATGAATCACGGAAGCTGCAAGGCGCGGAGAAGAACTATACAGTGCACGACAAGGAAATGCTGACAATCGTCCATGCGTTCAAGACCTGGCGGTGCTACCTGACCGGAGCTGACGTCACGGTGCGGACGGACCACAAATCCCTATAGTACCTGCACGCCCAACCGAACCTCAATCCCCGACAGATACGATGGCTCGATTTCCTCGAGTCAAATTTCCATTACACCATCACCTACAAATGGGGGGCCAATAATATCGCCGATGCCTTGACCCGCCCTACTGTCCATACCGCCGCGATACTAATCGCCCAGTCAAACCCATTACTTACAGGACTATTCACCCACGGCTACAAGATCGATCCCTTTTTCCGCTCCGCTATCCATCAACAACATACCACCGCTACTGGCCCGTATTTTCATAAACGCGGTACCTCTCGCATCTGGGTACTCGGCTACGATTTACTTCGTACCCTGCTCATCCAGGAATCCCATGACAACCCTACCTCAGGACATTTCGGCGTGGATAAAACCACGAAGATGCTGCAGCGGAATTATTATTGGCCGAACATGGCCGATGACGTGCGCAAGTACGGGTCCTCCTGCACCGCCTGGCAGATTATGAAATCGTCGCATCAGCGAGCAGCCGGACTACTACAGCCGTTGGATCCGCCTGAGCGACCCTGGCAACACGTCATGATGGACTACGTGACAGGACTGCCGGCCGGTCCCAGCGGAAACGACGCCATCCTCGTGGTCGTTGACCGCCTCACAAAAATGGCGCACTTCATCGCCTGCCAACAGACCATCACCGCCGAACAAACCGCGAACGTCATCCGCCTGCACGGACTGCCCTCCGCCATCATTTCAGACCGAGACCCAAAATTCACATCGAATTTCTGGCGCCACTTGTGGGACCAATTTGGCACCAAACTCCAATTTTCATCCGCCTACCACCCACAAACCGACGGGCAGACCGAACGCGTTAACCAAACCATGGAGCAGCTCATTCGCACCACCTGTACTGACCCATCGACATGGGAGAAATCTCTTCCGCTCCTAGAATTCACGTATAATAACGCGACCTCAGCCACAACCGATCAATCCCCATTCTTCCTCAACTACGGAAAGGATCCGGTAGTACCCTCTAACCCGAACATCGAGTCACCAGTGCCCCTGTCCCAGAAATTTGCTGAAGACATTCTCGCCACTCGCGACAAAGCAGCTGAGGCCATTCGGAAAGCTAACCTGGTCGCAAGCCGACAAGCCGATCGACATCGACGCGACGTCACTTACAAAGTGGGAGATCTTGTCCTCCTCGACACTCGCAATTTGCGGCTGCCGATCCCAAGAAAACTCCGACCCAGATTCTGCGGACCTTTTCAAGTGACCAACCTCGTGACACCTGTCACTGTCCACCTTCAGCTACCGGCTGATTGGCGCCATCACCCGGCTTTCCACGTCAGTCTTCTCCGACCCTACGTCCCGAGTTCGTCGGACTTGGCACGCAACCGTAGTATACCGCAACTGACGCATTTGCAGGAACCGACGACCGAGCCCTTGAAAATTCTCGGCCATCGCATCACCACGCAGCTGAACCGTCGGATGGTTGATTTCCTCGTCCGCTGGCGAGATCGCACGTCCGAAGACGACAGCTGGGTGCCCCTCGCTGATCTAGAATCACATCCGATTCTAACGGCATATTACCAGCGTCGGAATGTCTCCGATGCCCACGGTCTCGTTTAGGAGGGGGGGGTAGTGTAAGGAATTTCCATTCCTTACTGAGTCGCCCGCTACCGCGTACACCCGAACACTTCGACTTGTCACGATCAGCCTATATTTTCGGCCCAACCCTTTCTCGAGTCGCGCCCGACAGCGTCGCCACATTGCCGAACCTATCCACGTCCCGAGGTTATCGCCCTATTACGTCCACTCCTATATAACCTTGTGCTTTCATGGCAATAGTGACGTTGTATTCTCATTATAGTACATTGACATCTTCTAAATCATAACACGATTGGTTGGCCGTTGACTTCGTCAATAACGAATCCCGCTCCTTGTAGTTGTTCCAGTGCACCTACAGTTCCACAAAGCTGTGTGTAATCGTGACTAAGGACCAGCCTCCTCTCACGTGCTGTGTGACGAAGGGTGTGATTTTGGTCAATGACCAATCACGCCCCTCACACGTGCTCCATTACACACCCCATTCCATCCATGATTGTCGAGGGGAGGGGGGGGGGGGGGGGAGGTGGCGGAGGGGGGGGGGGGGGGGGAGGTGGGGGAAGGGGGGGGGTGGGGGATTGGTGGTATCGGGAAGACTGTTTCAGGCTGGAAATCCGTTGTGGCTGATAATTCAGGGTGACCAAAACAAGAACATACAATATTTCAGGCCTCCTCAAATGAGAAACCCTAAAATTCAGGCCTAGGGAAAATCAAAAGCTGAAAAATCAGGACGACCCTAAAAAAACACCCTGCTATACAGCATTTCAGGGCATTTTGTCGTGACTTCTGAAGCCCTGGTGGCATGGCATGTATTTAAACGAGGCAATATATGGGACTAGATTGTTACATCACCCAAACAGAATGTTGCTTTGTGCTGGTTGATAAATTCGTACGGGTTGATGGATATGCGTTTAGCGAGGATGCAGTTTCCAGCCCCAAGAACCTCAACCCCCTTTTCCTTCAACCCCAGCCCGCTAGGGTTTAGCCCGTTCAGTTGGTCGTTTCCTCGCAGCGTCGCTTGCCTTACATACACCTCATCTCCGGTTCCTCTCCGACCCGCTTGTTCGAGTGAGTTGCTTAGCCATTTTCGTACAGCCATTGCGATGGCTCCAGAGGAGGATCAACGGCCGGTAAAGGAGGATAAAGTCGTGGCCGAAGCGCGAGAAGCAGAGGAGATTAAAGCGGAAGCGGGCAATGGGGCATCGGAGGAAGAGCAGGGCGACGACGGAAGCGAGGACTTCAACAAACTGATTCCGTCGGGCGATTCTGACTCCGATTCGTCAGAGTCGGAGGCGAGTGAAGGGGAGGGAGAAAGCGACGACGACGAGGAGGAGGCGGAGGAGGAGGGGGAGGGGGGTAAGGGCGAGAAGGGAGCTGGCGAGGGTCAGCGGAAAGAAGGAGGTGGTTCGGGGCTGAAATCCGCGTCGCATGCGGCGGGTTTGGTGGCGAAAGAAGCGGCGCGGTTGGCGCGCGAGCAGAAGCGCGCGGCGGCGGCGGCGGAACGGAAGGAGCGGAGGGCGATGAAGGATCTGCTGCGGCGGCCGTGGGGGAACTTCCGCCTGCAGGGGGAGGCGGGGGAAGCTGGCGGAGGAGGTGGCGGAGAGGATGGGGGGAAAGACGAGGAGGTGCAGGGGAGCGATGATGAGGAGGAGGAGGAGGGGGAGGAGGGGGAGGAGGGGGAGGGTTTAGGAGGTGAGGGGGATGACGAGGAGGACGAGGAGGACGAGGAAGATGAGGAGGGAGAGGAGGAGGAGGAGGAGGGGGAGGAGGGGGAGGAGGGGGAGGAGAGCGAAGAGGAGGGGGAAAGGGAGGGAGCGGAGGAGGAGGAGGAGGAGGAGGAGGAGCGATTGGGGCGAGAGGGCGATGGGGCGGGTCACGCGGCGGAGGAGAGCGACTCCTCGGAAGACGAGGTACGCTCTCGTGCTCCCCCTCTCACCTTAAACCCTGCTATCTTCGAGGCGCCCCGAAACCAGACACGTTTTACCCTGCCTTCCATCCCTCCCTCTCTGCCCCACCCCTCCCTGCCTCCGCCCCCTCTCCAACTCCCCCCTTCCTCCCCCCCTCTACCTCCATCCTTTCCGCTCCTCGTCTCTCGATTAGGCACTGTGCGAAAACGAGGTGAGCAACACTCCCAATGGCTGTGTCCCTGCACGAGACTGCATTGTTGAGAATTCGAAAAAATCACCTGCAACACTCCCAATGGCTGTGTCCCAATGGCTGTGTCCCAATGGCTGTGTCCCAATGGCTGTGTCCCAATGGCTGTGTCCCAATGGCTGTGTCCCAATGGCTGTGTCCCAATGGCTGTGTCCCAATGGCTGTGTCCCAATGGCTGTGTCCCAATGGCTGGGTCCCAATGGCTGTGTCCCAATGGCTGTGTCCCAATGGCTGTGTCCCAATGGCTGTGTCCCAATGGCTGTGTCCCAATGGCTGTGTCCCAATGGCTGTGTCCCAATGGCTGTGTCCCAATGGCTGTGTCCCAATGGCTGTGTCCCAATGGCTGTGTCCCAATGGCTGTGTCCCAATGGCTGTGTCCCAATGGCTGTGTCCCAATGGCTGGGTCCCAATGGCTGTGTCCCAATGGCTGTGTCCCAATGGCTGTGTCCCAATGGCTGTGTCCCAATGGCTGTGTCCCAATGGCTGTGTCCCAATGGCTGTGTCCCAATGGCTGTGTCCCAATGGCTGTGTCCCAATGGCTGTGTCCCAATGGCTGTGTCCCAATGGCTGTGTCCCAATGGCTGTGTCCCAATGGCTGTGTCCCAATGGCTGTGTCCCAATGGCTGTGTCCCAATGGCTGTGTCCCAATGGCTGTGTCCCAATGGCTGTGTCCCAATGGCTGTGTCCCAATGGCTGTGTCCCAATGGCTGTGTCCCAATGGCTGTGTCCCAATGGCTGTGTCCCAATGGCTGTGTCCCAATGGCTGGGTCCCAATGGCTGTGTCCCAATGGCTGTGTCCCAATGGCTGTGTCCCAATGGCTGTGTCCCAATGGCTGTGTCCCAATGGCTGTGTCCCAATGGCTGTGTCCCAATGGCTGTGTCCCAATGGCTGTGTCCCTGCACGAGACTGCATTGTAAAGAAGGCACCTGTCCCAAAAGCGGTAGACTGCATTCTACCGTTTGCTTCCTGGAATGACGAAGGCACCTGCAAAACTGCAACACTGCAGGGGCCACGTGTGTCTCTACTCTGCTTTCCCCTTCCAGCGCCCCTCCCGCAACACGGTGGGAAGTGTCCCCCGGAGTGCTGCAAGGAGGAGGGGCACTTAGGCCACGACAGGGAGGGGCGTGCTGAGGCGACTTATAACTGCTGCCCTGTCGTATCCCCACCTTGCCGCCTTCCCCCTTCCAGCGCCCCTCCCGCAACACGGTGGGCAGCGTGCCTTTGGAGTGGTACAAGGAGGAGGGGCACATAGGCTACGACAGGGAGGGAAAGCGCATTATGAAGCAGAAAGCGAGGGCTTCGAAGGGCGATAAGCTCGACGCGTTCCTCGCACACTCAGATGACCCCAATGCCTGGTGGGTGTTGTGGGGTGCTGGTGGGTGTTGTGGGGTGCTGGTGGGTGTTGTGGGGTGCTGGTGGGTGTGCGTCGGTGCTGATGGGTGTGATGTGGTGCTGCTGGGTTCGGCGGATATTGCGAGTATATGGTGACGGTGCGGTGTGTTGTGGTTAGTTATTGAGGTGTCTAAGGGAGACAAGCCTGGCGTGTTTCCCATTGTTAGGATGGCCTGGTGTGTGGTGTGTGGTGTGTGGTGTGTGGACGTTATGAAACAAACTGGCTGCATGGTTCCGCACACTGGGACATCTTTCTCCAATGCCTGGGCGGCTGCCCCGGACCCCGGTCGGTGTGTTGTGAGGCTGGTGCATGGTTGGAGTTGGAGAGTTTGCTGTGTGGTGTGGTTGGGATGGTATGTGATGTGAGGCGTCTCACACGAATGGACAGGCTGTATTACTTTTGATTTGACTTAGAAGTCACTGTGTGGGTGGGGTACGTGAGGCCTGGGTGGGTGGTATGTGTGGTAGGCATGTGTGGGGTACGTGTGGCCTGGATGGGTGGTAAGTGTGGTTTGTGAGGTGAGGCGTCTCACACAATGGAGCAGGATCGGGGCTGGCCGCATCTTCCAACGCACTCAGCTCAGACGACCCCCCACCCCACGGCCTGGTGGGTGTGGTGTAGGTTGCTGTATGCGTCTTACTGGCGATATGGCCACGGCCATGAGCCCGCCGTGAAGCTTGATATGTGGAGTCTCGCAAACATCCCAGGCGAAACGCCTGGACATGGACCGACCGAAAGCCCTTCCTTTCATTGCCGCCTCCTGCTGCTGTGTCCTCAACTCTTTCCAGGAAGGTGGTGTAGAACGATGAGTAGAGTAGATCCGGCTGACAGGGTGCTCGGGTGGCACTGTTTTTGCCTGATGGTCCTGCCTGCCTGTGATTGCCTGTTTTGTTCTTGTGCCGCCCTTCCAGGAAGGTGGTGTACGACGAGTACAACGACGAGGAGATCCGGTTGACAGAGGAGGATATCGACATGATTCGCCGGATAAGAGAGGGGCGCACGCCACATGCCAACGTCAACCCGTATGAGGTGCGTGGTGTGTGTGGTGTGTGTGATGTGGTGTGGTGTGGTGTGATGTGGTGTGGTGTGGTGTGGTGTGGTGTGGTGTGGTGTGGTGTGGTGTGGTGTGGTGTGGTGTGGTGTGGTGTGGTGACTGCCTGACAAGAGAGGGACGCATGCGGCATGCAGCACGCCGCATGCCAACGTGAACCCGTATGAGGTGAGACTAGAGCAAACTTGGGGATTCAATCTCGACAATTAGGAGGGTTATGCTTCAAGGAGGAGAGGAGAGGACACAAGAACTGCCAGAATCAGAGGGAGACGTGCGTTTTGAACTCCAGTCTACTCTTTGTACGCTCCCCTTCCCCCCTCCCTCTCTCCGAGCTGTGCCTGACCTGGACCGGTTCGACGGGGACGAGAATAGGGACTCTCTAAATGCGTCTCCTGACCCCCCTTCTCCTCAATCCTCCCCCCCCCTCCCTTCCCCCCCTCCCCCCTCCCCCCTCCCCCCTCTACAGCCGTACCTGGACTGGTTCGACTGGGACGAGAAGTGGGACCCCCTCAACGCCCAGCCGGAGCCAAAGAGGCGATTCACGCCCTCCAAGCACGAGGCCAGACAGGTGAGGCGAGCACGAGGCTAGAAAGGTGCGTTCAGGCATGAGTGGGTGTGTGGGTGGGTGGGTGGGTGGGTGGGTGGGTGGGTGGGATTGGAAGCGAGAGATTGGGATGGGGGGATGTGAAGGCGATGTGGCCGTTTGCTTTGGGCCTTTGAAGCATGCAAAACCGTGTTGACTCATGGATCCAGCATGGGCGCAAGTTCGATAGGTCAACCTCATTCAACGCACTGCACGTCAAATGCTACAGCTGTCTGCTGTCTCCTCTCTGCGCTTGCTGCTGCTCGTCCTCCCCCCTCCCCCCCTCCCCCCCCACCCACTCCTCCTCCTCCTCCCCCTCCTCCTCCTCCTCCTCCTCCTCCTCCTCCTCCTCCTCCTCCTCCTCCTCCTCCTCCTCCTCCTCCTCCTCCTCCTCCTCCTCCTCCTCCTCCTCCTCCTCCTCCTCCTCCTCCTCCTCCTCCTCCCCCCCACTTCCCTTCCACCTCTCCCCACCCCTACACAGATCGTGAAGCTGGAGCGGGGCCTGCGAAAGTGAGCAATCACTCACTCCACCCCTTCCTTCACTCCACCCCTTCCTTCACTCCACCCCTTCCTTCACTCCACGTCTTCCTTCTCCCCTGCAGATCGTGAAGCTGGTGCGGGGGCTGCGGAAAGGAACGGTGAAGACACTAGCACAGAGGGAGAAGGAGCGGCAGCAGAAGGAGAGCGAGAAGGAGCAGCAGCCGGTGTACCTGCTGTGGGGGGACGACCTCAAGGCCATTGCCTCGCAGTCCGATAAGACCAAGAACGTCAACGGACTCAGCTTCGTGGCCGCGCCCAAGCCCAAGCTGCCAGGTGAGAGAAACACTCTGCTTCAAACAGTGGGGGAAGGAACGCTCTACTTCAAACTGCAGGCCACGAGGAATCGTACACGGTACAACCCTCCGGTGGAGAGTACATCCCCACTGAGCAGGAGGCAGCCTGAACTGAAGTATGCCGATGACGCGTGCACGTGGTGCACCTACCCTGTCTCATGCCCTCTGTCCTCCCCGCACTGCAGGGCACGAGGAGTCGTACAACCCCCCGGTGGAGTACATCCCCACGGAGGAGGAGGTGGCAGAGAAGATGATGCAGGCGGAGTACGAGGGCACCTCCGACTCCCTCTTCGTGCCCAAGCAGTGAGTGCCCAAGCAGTGAGTGCCTAAGCAGTGAGTGACCAAGCAGTGAGTGCCCAAGCAGTGAGTGCTCGCTCCATTGCTTCGTTGCTTCATTCGGTGTTTTGAAGAGCCTCAACAGTACTGCAGGCAGGTGGGGTGTAAGGGCAGGGCACCGTTCGCCTCGCCCTTTCACTCTTCCTTCTTTCCTCCGGGTTCCTCTTCTCCCCTTCCAGCCATCAGGTACACACACAGCTCTTGAGTTGCCTCAAAATCCGCGTGAAATGAGATGGCTTTTGAGACGCCTCAAGAGCCTTCTTTCCTCCAGGTTCCCCTTCTCCCCTTCCAACCATCAGGCACACACCTCCCTGTGCTCCATGCCAGCCTACATAAGTCTGTCTGAGTCGCCTCCCCCTCTCCTTTCCGTGAGGAGTTTATTTTTGAGGCGCCTCTAAAATAGACATCTCCCTCCCTGCGCTCCATGCCAGCCGGCATAAGTCGGGCTGAGTGGCCTCCATATCCCCCTCGTCTCCCCCTCCCCTTTCCGCCCTCCCCCCTCCCCCACCATCAGGCACACGTCCCTGCGCTCCGTGCCCGCCTACCCTCGCTTTATTCGGGAACGATTCGAGCGATGCTTGGACCTGTACCTGTGCCCGCGCGTCAAGAAGAACAGGGTGAGTCGTGGGGAAATGGATTGTACGTGTAGAGAAGAGGAGTTTTCAGGCCCCTCAAAAAGCGATCGCTTGATGCCTGGACCTGCACCTGTCCCCACGTGTCAAGAAGAACAGGGTGCGTGAGTTGCGTGGGTTTACGCGCGATTGATTCGAGGTGGTGCTCGGACCTGTAGTACCTGTGCTGTGCTGTGCTGTGCTGTGCTGTTCTGTGCTGTGCCCGCTCGTCAAGAAGAACAGGGTGATTCGTGGGGGGGGCAGGATGGAGAAGAGGTTGTAAACATAAGGGAGGAGATGTTGCAGTCATGAAGACAGATAGACTTGAGATGAGATAGGGCATCAAGTGCCTGTCAAAGCTCCCATCAGTGTTTCAATCAGTATACCACAAACCATTTTCCTCGAAGGCCTTCAGTATACCACAAACCATTTTCCTCGAAGGCCTTCAGTATACCGCAAACCATTTTCCTCGAAGGCCTTCAGTATACCGCAAACCATTTTCCTCGAAGGCCTTCAGTATACTGCAAACCATTTTCCTCGAAGGCCTTCAGTATACCGCAAACCATTTTCCTCGAAGGCCTTCAGTATACCGCAAACCATTTTCCTCGAAGGCCTTCAGTATACCGCAAACCATTTTCCTCGAAGGCCTTCAGTATACTGCAAACCATTTTCCTCGAAGGCCTTCAGTATACCGCAAACCATTTTCCTCGAAGGCCTTCAGTATACCGCAAACCATTTTCCTCGAAGGCCTTCAGTATACCGCAAACCATTTTCCTCGAAGGCCTTCAGTATACCGCAAACCATTTTCCTCGAAGGCCTTCAGTATCCCGCAAACCATTTTCCTCGAAGGCCTTCAGTATCCCGCAAACCATTTTCCTCGAAGGCCTTCAGTATACCGCAAACCATTTTCCTCAAAGGCCTTCAGTATCCCGCAAACCATTTTCCTCGAAGACCTTCAGTATCCCGCAAACCATTTTCCTCGAAGGCCTTCAGTATCCCGCAAACCATTTTCCATGTTTGCTGCAAAAAGGCCCTTCAACTCCCAAAACAACAGAAACCATGACGTCATCCCTTCCTGCACTCCCTCTCTCTCCGACACCTGGGCCACCGCTCCACCGTGCGAGCACTCTCTCTACATCCCTCTTGGCAGTGGCTCGCCTCAGCTGTGCATTTGGTTTGGTGTTGATTGAAAGGAGTCTGCTTCTGTGTCAGTGTGTTGTAGTGGGTCTCCTCCTCCGCTCCCTCTCTCTGCGAGAGAGCACCATTTGGGTGCCATTGACTTTACGTGGCAGCGACTGGTAGGTGCTTAGAGTAGCCAGAAACTTGCTTCTTTTTGTATTAGAATTCCTCAAACATTACTGCACTATGGCCCTGCCCTCTCGTCCACTTACCCTCTCACTCTCCCTCGTTGCTCTCCATCCTCCTCCCTCCCCTCCCCCCCCCTCATCCGGCAGATCATGATAGACCCCGATGCTCTCCTACCCAAGCTCCCCAAGAGGAAGGATCTGCGTCCCTTCCCGCACTCCCTCTCGCTGCGCTTCCTGGGCCATCGCGCCACCGTGCGCTCGCTCTCTCTCCATCCCTCAGGGCAGTGGCTCGCCTCAGGTGTGTCTTGAATCTGCATTCAAATTAGTGTGCCCTGGGCACTCCCGCACTCCCTCTCTCTGCGCTTCCTGGGCCATCCATCGCGTCACCATGCGCTCGCTCTCTCTACATCCCTCGGGACAATGGCTCGCCTCAGGTATCGTCTAACTTGGTGCGAAAGAGTGTGCCCTCTCCCTCTTTCTGCGCTCCCCCCCCTCCGCTTCTATCACCCCATCTTCCCCTTTGGTCCGAATCATTCCTCCTTCGTCTTACCCCCCTGCTGGCAGTGATGGTGGCACGATGCACGTGTGTGTGGGATGACACCATGCATGCGGTCCCAGCATTTGAAATTTCTCAGAAGCCTGACACATGTGCACAAGTGTACTTTGAGGCGCCTAAAATATGAGAATTGTCCAAAGCCTGACACATGTGCCCACAAGTCCCCATTCTCGCTTGCTCATCGCCCCCTCCTCTCGCTCTCTCCCACCCCCCCTTTCCCCGTCCCTCCCCCTTCTCCTCTTGATCACCCCGCAGGCAGCGACGACGGCACCGTGCGCATGTGGGAGGTGGACACCACGCGGTGCCGGCGGGTCATCCACCTACCAACGGCAGTGAAACACGTGTCATGGAGCCCTGCTGCCAACCGCCCCATCCTCGCCATCACCTCGTGAGCCGCCCATTTCTTCCGTCCTTGACTTGCCTTGACTCAATCGACTCAGCAACCAATAGTCCATTAACCCACGCATCCCCTGCTCTCAACCTCCCCATCCTCATCACTACCTCGTGAGACTTGTAAACCCTCCCTTGATTCAGCAACCAAACGTCTATCAGCCCATCCATCCCATCCATCCCATCCATCCCATCCATCCCATCCATCCCATCCATCCCATCCATCCCATCCATCCCATCCATCCCATCCATCCCATCCATCCATCCATCCATCCATCCATCCATCCATCCATCCATCCATCCATCCCATCTATCCCATCCATCCATCCATCCATCCATCCATCCATCCATCCATCCCATCCATCCATCCATCCATCCATCCATCCCATCCATCCATCCATCCATCCCATCCATCCATCCATCCCATCCTGCTGCCAACCGCCCCATCACTGCCCCGCTGCCCCTCCCCCCTTCCTGCCCCTCTGCTCCCCTGCGCCTCCCCCCCTCCCCTCACTGCTCTGCCCAACAGGGGCACGGATGTGGTGTTGCTGCCAGGGGAGGGCGGTACAGAGGAGGAGGAGAGGGCAGTGGATCGACTATTAGAGGCGAAGGACGGGTGGAAAGAAGGTGGGTGTTTGATGGATGGATGCATGGAGGGGAGGTGGGTGTCAGTTTGATGGTTGAATGGATGCATGAATGCACGGAGGAGGAGGAGGAGGAGAAGGGGGCGATGGAGCGACTATTAGATGGTGGGTGAAAAGAAGGTGGGTTTGGTGGGTGGATGCATGGGTGCATCGGTGCATGGGCGGGTGGTGACATGGGTGCATGGTTGGAGTATTGCATGTCTCCTTGTTCCGTTTTTCCTCCCCCTCTTCTTATCGTCCTTCCCATTCCCTTTTTTAAGTTGAAATCAATTCTTCAAGCAGCCACCATCCCCTTCTGCTCCCTGCCTCTCTTGACTTTACCAGGGGCGAAGCCGCAGAATCAGCAGCAGGGGTGGACGTGACGTGGAGGATTGCTTGCCATCAATTGTTGAGGCGCCTCAAAAATTGCGCGCCATCAATTGACATTTTTCCTGCCGCCCGGTTCCCTTTTCTCCGCACCAACCATTGCAGAAGCGGCAGCAGGGGTGGGTGTGACGTGGAGTGCGTACCGCGGGGAGGGAGGCAAGCTCAAGGGGCTGAGACTGAGGCACCAGGAGGTGAGACTTGGAGGTGTTGAACGATTTCGGGCAGCACAAGGATTGCGATCCAGCAGTGCGTTTTGGGGCCTCCACCGCTGGATCGCACTCATGGTCCTGTTTGCTGCACCGTGCTCCTTCATACTCACTTGTAGTACTAGTACCCAGTTCTTTCCTAGAATTCAGGGTCTTTCATCAACCAAGTATGCCGCATGCATGGCATCCAGCCTCTTTTTTTTCGTGCTTCAGAACAATCTCATGTCTGTTTCCTTTTCTGTCGTTGTGTGCCCCTTGTTTTTCTCCTCTCGAGTTCACCTCACTTATGGTCCATTCTCAATTGGTTCTTTGTATTACATAGAAGTTGGTCCTCTGTATTCCATAGAAGTTGGTCCTTTGTATTACATAGAAGTTGGTCCTTTGTATTACATAGAAGTTGGTCCTTTGTATTACATAGAAGTTGGTCCTTTGTATTACATAGAAGTTGGTCCTTTGTATTACATAGAAGTTGGTCCTTTGTATTACATAGAAGAAGAGTACAAATAAGGCATATGGACACGCATAGAAGGTTTTACTCCCCCCCCCCTCCTCCCCCCCCCCCTTCCGGTTCACTTCCCTGGCGGTCCATTCTCCCGCTGCAGCAAGTCT